GTTCCCAGGTGCTCTGTCCCAGGGAGTTGGAGCTTTATGAGTTTCCGCTGCACTACCGCCTTTTTTGATTTTTCTTTCAGGTCTCACCCGCCCAGCTGGCAGCACGCCTAGCCACTGCCTGCCCGCAGAGGCTTTGCTGAGCTGCTGTGGGCTCCGCCCAGCTGCCCTGTGCTCTTCCCTGCAGTCCTGTTTATATGGGCGTAGTTAGAACTGTCTGGGCAACGGTGGCCCCGCCTCTGTTATGGGGGAGTCTCTCTGTTGTGGCGGGTTGCCTTGGCGAAGGCGGCCTGCCTCCCTAGCGGTGGAGAGTCTCAGTAATGTCTGAAGCCCCTCCCCCACGGAGCCGGACTGTCCCGGGTTCAGCTGTGCTTAGTTTGAAGGGCTCAACCCAGAGGGTTTCCAATTACTGTTTTTGTTTTCGTCGTTGTTGGGGGTAGAGGGGTGGGACCAACCGAGCCTGATCACCTGGCTCCCTGACTCAAAGTCTTTTAAGTTGAACGACCCGGCTTTCCAGTTGCTTGTTGAAAAGGCGCCGGGATCTCCCGTTCTGCGACTCACTGAGTTGGCTCAAACAGTGGAGCCGGCTCCTGGCAGTTATTTTTTGCCTAGGAATCTCCTGGCCTGGCTCGCTATTTCAGATGAATGGGCAACTCTGCCGTCTCAGGGCTCCGATCGCCAGCTAAGAGGGCTCCCAGATCAGTGGCTTTTTTACGAAGAACCGCTGCAACAGGGCGTGGTCACAGCAGCTGCACCGGCGGAATCAGCCCCGCGGGGGCCAAAACAGCTGCACCGGCCGGGACTGCTGCGCTGGCGACCCCTCTGCCTGGGTATCTCCTTGTTTGTGGGCAATAAAAATTCGTCTGGAAATGCGGCATCCACTCACCCTCTGCACTTTCACTGGGAGCTAAAGTCCTGAGCTGTTCCTAGGCGGCCATCTTCCCAGCATTCAGGATTAGTATTCTTTAAATACCTGGTAGAATTTAGCAGTGACATCATCACAGATGGGGCTTTCGTATGATGCAAGTTATTTTTTTTGATTGATCTCTTTTTTATTGGTTTGTTGAGATTTTCTCTTTTTTCATGATTTGATAGGTAGGTTTTTATTCATCTATTTCTTAGAACTTATGTATTTCTTGTACATTACCTAATTTGTTGGTTTATAAGTATTCATGGTCTCTTACGATCCTTTGTACTTCTGTGATATCAGTTGTAATGTCTCCTCTTTCATTTGTGATTCTTTTGAATCTTTTTTCTTAGTCCAGCTAAAGGTTTGTCAAATTTATTACCTTTCAAAAGATAAATTTTGTTGATCTTTTCTATTTTTCAAGTCCCAGTTTATCTCCAACTGATCTTGATTTTTTTCCTTCTCCTGACTTTGGGCTTTATTCTTTTTCTAATTCTTTGAGTTGTAATGTTAGGTTATTTGAGATCTTTTTTTATGTAGAACTGCTTTTGCTGCATCCCGTTGGTTTTGGTTTGTTGTGTTTGCATTTTCATTTGTCTCAAGAAATTTGTCAGTTTCCCTTTTCTTTGCTCTATTGGTTGTTCAGGAGCATGTGGTTGAATTTTCACATATTTGTCAGTTTTCCACTTTTTCTCCTGTCATTGATCTCTAATTTTATACTGTTGTGAATGTTCTGTGTGCATTTGAAAAGAATGTGCATTCTGCTGCTATTGGATGAAATACTGTATGCATGTCTGTTAGGTCCATTAGGTCTTAAGTGTGGTTGCTCATTGTTTCCTGGCTGGACTTCATGGCTCACATCTATAATCCCAACACTTGGGAGGTTGAGACAGGAGGATCGCTTGAGGCTATGAGTTCACAAACAGCCTGTGCAACATAGTGAAACCCTGTCTTTACAAAAATTAGCCACACAGGACATGCCTATAGTCACAGGTACTTGGGAGGCTGAGGCAGGAAGATCACTTGAGCACAGGACTTCGAGGCTGCAGCATGCTATGATCGCACCACTGCATTCTGGTCAGGGCAGATGAGACCCTGTCTCTTAAGAAAGTAAGAAAGTTCAGCATTTTCTTACTGATTTTCTATCTGGATGATGTATCCATTGTTGAAAGTGGGATCTTGAAGTCCCTTACTATTTTATATTACCTATTCTTTCAGATTCCCAAATATTTTCTTTATATATTTAGGTACTCCCGTGTTAGGTGGATATATATTTATAACTGTTTTATCTTCTTAATGAAATGACCCTTTTATTATTTAATTACTTTCTTGGTCTCTTGTGATAGACTTAAAATCTATTTTGTATGATGTAAGTGTACCTACTTCCTGTTCTTTTGGTTTCCATTTGCATGGAGTATATTTTTCTGACCCTTCGCTTCCAGTCGGTGTGTGTCTTTAAAGGTGAAGTCAATCTTCTGTAGGCAGTATATAGTTCAGTCTTGTGTTTTTTTAATCCATTTAGCGACTGTCTTTTGATTGGCAAATGTAATCCATTTTCATTTAAAGAAAGTATTGATAAATAGAGATTTACTATTGCCATTTTGTTTGTTTTCTGGTTGTTTTATATATATTCCTTTGTTACTCTCTTGTGGTCTTCCTTTGTGATTTGATGCTTTTCTGTAGCGGTATGCTTTGATTTATCTTTATATATCTACTGTAGGTTTTTGCTTTATGGTTCTCATGAGGCTTACACAAAATACCTTAGAATATACCAGTTTATTTAAAGCTGATAACAATTTCTATCACCTAGAAAAGCTCTGTACTTTTTTCTCCCTTCAATATTACAAATTTTACAGTTTACATCTTTGTGTATTTATTTAAAAGGCTTTTTCCTTCTTTGATCTCAAAGAAGTATACTGTTGTGCCTGTTAATAGGCAAGATATAGCCAACTAACTCTTCTCTTCTAATCTCAGATCACAAACAATGTTTTCTTGTTAATTAAAAACTAAATACACACCTGTCAGAACAGGTATAGTACATAAAAAATTGAGAAAATACCAAATGGTGGTAGGGATATGGGGAAACTAGAGCTCTCACACAAATTGTCATTAGAAATGTAAAATGTTACAGCCACTCTAGAAAAAGTTTTGAAGTTGCTTAAAAAACTAAAACATAGACTGGGCACAATGGTTCACGCCTATAATCCTAGCCCTTTGGGAGGCTGAGGCAGGCAGATCACTTGAGGTCGGGTTCAAGACCAACCTGACCAACATGGTGAAACCCAGTCTCTACTAAAAACAAAGAAATTAGCTGGATATGGTGGTGCATGCCTTAATCTCAGCTACTCGGGTGGCTGAGGCAGGAGAATTGCTTGAACCCACGAGGTGGTGGTTGTAATGAGCTGAGATCCTACCACTGCACTTCAGCCTGGACAACAGAGTGAGACTTTGTCTCTTAAAAAAAAAAGTATATGGCCGGACACGGTGGCTCAAACCTGTAATCCCAGTACTTTGGGAGGCAGAGGCGGGTGGATCACGAGATCAAGAGATTGAGACCATCCTGGTCAACATGGTGAAACCCTGTCTCTACTAAAAATACTAAAAAAAAGTAGCTGGGCATGGTGGCGCGTGCCTGTAATTCCAGCTACTCAGGAGGCTGAGGCAGGAGAGTTGCCTGAACCCAGGAGGTGGAGGTTGCTGTGAGCCGAGATCGCGCCGTTGCACTCCAGCCTGGGCAACAAGAGAGAAACTCCGTCTCAAAAAAAAAAAAAAAAAAAAGTATATTTACCATATGATCCAGCCGTTTTTCTCCTGGGCATTTAACAAAAGCAGATGAAAACTGATGTACACACAAAAACCTATATAAGAATGCAAGAGGCCGGGCGCGGTGGCTCACGCCTGTAATCCCAGCACTTTGGGAGGCCGAGGCGGGTGGATCACGAGGTCAAGAGATCGAGACCATCCTGGTCACCATGGTGAAACCCCGTCTCTACTAAAAATACAAAAAATTAGCTGGACATGGTGGCACATGCCTGTAATCCCAGCTACACGGGAGGCTGAGGCAGGAGAATTGCCTGAACCCAGGAGGCGGAGGTTGCGGTGAGCCGAGATCGCGCCATTGTACTCCAGCCTGGGTAACAAGAGCGAAACTCCGTTTCAAAAAAAAAGAATGCAAGAATGTTAATAGCAACTTTATTAGTAATAACCTAAAACCTGGTAGCAACCATAGTGTCCTTAAATGCTTTAGGTGAATGATAAACAAGCTATGATATATCCATATGATGGAATATTACTTAGTGGCAAAAACGAACAAAGAATTGATATGAGTCTCAAAGGCATTGTGCTGAGTGGAAAAAAAGCCAATCTCAAGAGATCATATGGTGTATGATTTCATTGGAAAATAAATTGGCAGTTGTCAGGGATTGGGGATGGGAGAGGAGGGGATCGTGTGGATGTGACTATAATGAACAAGAAGATATTTGTGGTGACTCAGTAGTTCTGTATTTTAATCGTGATAATAGTTGAATGAATATATAGGTATGATTAAATGTCATGGAATGATACACATACCAATGTTAATTTCATGGTTTTGGTATTATACCGGTTATGGAAGATGTAATAATTGGAGATAATTCAGGGAAGGATATATGGTCGTCTGTAGTGTTTTTTTAACTTCTTAGGAATCGATTTCAAAATGAAAGTATTGAAGAAACTTGAAATGCCAACCAAATTTCATAGTTAATAGATATAAATTTTCTTTAGTGTTACTGGTTTTTTTAGGTTGTCATATATACATTTTAGGATGGAGAGAAAGGTTTATATACTTTATTAAAAGGAAGAGTCTAATGCTTACAATTGTTTAAATTAAAGAGGAAAGTTTCATAATGGTATGGGATGCACTAGAATGAATGTCTCAACTATTTTTTTTACAAAGCATTGTGTGACTAAATGGATAAGAATTTAAGAAATATATTAACATTTTTGGTGGAGATAAAAGTTAAATTTTTTGATACTTGTTTAAGGAATTTTTTTTTTTTAAAGCGTTGTTAGCTCATTCTGTGTTGTTCGCTGTAGATGCTTCTGTATATCATTGCAGGCCTTTCGTGTCCTCTCTGAACCAACTGGTATGCAATCCCCAAACTCTAAAGAATGTCCTAGGGCTTGGCAATGTTCAGATGTACCAGAACCTGCAGTCTGTGGGATAAGTAGAATCTGGGTTTTCAGACTGAAGAGAAGAAAGCGCATTGCAAGACGACTGGTTGATACTCTCAGGTAAGAAATAAAATGGATCTAGATCCATAACCTTAGGTTCATAGCTTTTGCAGAATCCCTCGGCTCCTAGCTGTAAAAGGAAAGATATTGGTAAGATACTTCTGTATGAATACTATCAAAGTCAGGCTAAGGAAGATATTAGCACTAGAAAAATAATGCTAGATGTACTCAGCCTTGGGCACAACATTCCAAGTCTGAAACATACTGGCCCACTGCTTTTCAAACTACCTGTGCTAAAGGACTAGTTTAATTTGTCACAGATCAACACTAATAAAATAAAAATGGATTGCTAGAAAATAAAAAGGAAAAACATAGCATAGTTTGAAGTGAAAAAAAAGGAAAAACAAAAAAATTACAAGCTTGAATTTTTATTAGATTTAGCAGATTGAAATTATGCTTCAATAAATATAACCTGTACAAAGTAAAGGTTTGCATAATTACATGTTCATTGACAGTGACTAGGTAATTAAGACTTGCTATAACTGAAAAGCACAATTAAATAAAAAGTGGATTTGTGAGACAACCCATAGAACAAGAGAAAATAGTTACAAATCATTTGTCAGAGGAGGGTCTGATACCCATAAAATAATTCTTAGAACACAATAATAAAAAGAACTTAATTTAAAAATGGACAAAGAATTTCAGTAGACATTTCTCTAAAGATGAATTGCAAATGGTTAATTCAACATAAAAAGATGCTCAAGCATCTTTAGGTATCAGGGAAATAACAAAACCACAGTGTGATGCCACTTTATACGCAGTAGGATGACTGTAATCAAAAAACGGACAAGTGTTGGTGAAGATGTAGAGGAAACTGAAACCCTTGTACATTGCTGGTAGGAATGTAAACTGGTACAGTTGGTGTGGAATACAATCTGACAGTTTTTCAGAGTTAAACTGTTAATGTGACCTAGCAGTTCCACTCCTGGGTACATACTCAAGAAAACACATCCCCACAAAACCTTGTACATGAAGGTTCATAGAAGCATTATTTATAAAAGCTAAAGGATAAATAATCCAATATGTGATTAATGAATAAATGTGGTATATCGATAGAGTAATAACAATGGGATATTATCAAGCCATAAAGGAAATTCTGGCTCACACTACAACGTGGAGGAACCTTAAAAACATTATGTTAATTGAAATAAGTCAGTTGCAAAAGATCACACATTGTGTGATTACATTTATATAAAATGTCCAGAAGAGGCAGGCAGATCCAGAGGCAGAAAGTAGATGTGTAGTTTTCAGGGACTGAAGAAAGATGAATGGAGAGCAACTAATAGTGAGTACAGGGTTTGGGATAATAAAAATGTTCTAGAATTAGATAGTGGTGGTGATTGGACAATATTTGTTAACATACACAAGACTACTCAGTTATACGCTTTTAAAGGGTGAGGCTTATTGTGTATGAGTGTATCTCAGCCAAAAACAGTAGTCTTCATTTTTAACTCCCATGTGCACAACTGAACTAACACCATTGCTGTTTAAAGTTTCCAATGTCACAAATGAGCTTGTTTGCTAATTTACATAATACAGGTTATATGGATGAGTTTTATAAGACTTATTCTCTCAACTTTAACATATATTTCATTGTGGACAGATAGTGTACAAACCGATAACCACACTTTGACCAAACAAAAAACCACACTTGGAATAGTGTTATTCAAGCCTCTTGGATTCTGTGCCACTTTTAAAGAATGAATACCAGGATCACTCTGGGAACCCAATCTGGGCCATAGTCAACCAGACATTACTTACCAAGAGGGGATCAGTAGGAAAAAATGGTATCTTTAAAAGATTTTTATTTGACAATTAGTTATGAAACACTTTTTTTTTTTTTTTTTTTTTTTTTTTTTTCCTGAGACGGAGTTTCACTGTTGTTGCCTAGACCGGAGTGCAATGGTATGATCTTGGCTCACCGCAACCTCTGCCTCCGGGGTTCATGCAGTTCTCCTGCCTCAGCCTTCTGAGTAGCTGGGATTACAGACATACGCCACCATGCCCAGCTAATTTTGTATTTTTAGTGGAGATGAGGTTTCTCCATATGAGTCAGGCTGGTCTTAAACTCCTTACCTCAGGTGATCTGCCCACCTTAGCCTCCCAAAGTATAGGGATGACAGGCATGAGCCACTGTGCCTGGCTAAAATACTTCTTTTCTATGTTTTATATTAAATAGATACATAAATTTGGTATGAGGAGTACCAGTATATAACCTAGTTGTACCATATTATGTATTTAATTATAGTTAATATATTAGAAGCTTATGTCTTCTAATTGAATCAAATTCTTTAATTTTTTATTCTGAAATAATTTCAAACTTACAAAAGAGTAGCAAGAATAGTAAGAAGACTTTGTCAAGATCCATTAAGTTCAACATTTACCTCATTTGCTTTCTGTGTTTTGATAAGCTTCCCGAATTATTTCAAAATAGGTTACATATATTACACCCCTTTACCCCTTCATGCATCAGTGTGTTTTTCTTGAGAACAAGAATATATTATATTTGATACAGTTACCACATTTGGGAAATGTAATACTGATATAATGCTTTTATCTGACAGTCCATATTTCACTTTTGTCTGTTGTCTCAAATGTCCTTCATGGCCTTTTTTTTTCTGCCCAGTGACTCAGACTGCATTTAGTTGTCACATCTCTTTAGTCTTTGTTTTCCCTAATCTGGAAAAGTTTCTTAGCCTTTTGACATTGAAGTATTTGAAGAGTGCAGGCCAGTTCTTTTATACACTGTCCCTCAATTTTGATTCTCTCTCTTTTTTTTTTTCTTTCACAAACAAGTTGTGGGAGATGTTAAATTAACCATTTCCTTGTTACTTTTAATCCTGAGGTGGGCAAGATCAAGGAGAGTTTAGTCAAAATGCAGATGATTTTTGCTTTCTTAAAGCTCTGAGTGCATGTTTTCTTTGAAAAAAATATAGTTACTGGTTAAAATTGGTGATTTTTTTGTTCTAATTATCTGTACTTTTAATTAGCAATATGATCTTACATTAGTTGCTCTTTACTGTGGATATCCTAGAGTTAGGTGGATGGTTCCCTTTGCCTCTCAGCAGAATTTTTTCTGGACCTTAGTTTTCTCATCTTTGAAATGGTATCATTAGACTTCTTTCTCTAAAATATAAGACATTTTTTCACTTACTAAAAATAAGGTTGCTTTAAGTCAAGAGTATTTACTTAAACTGTGCTTATGTAAATTAGAATGTTAAGTTGCTTCCATTATTAAATTATCTTTTCCTCTTTTAGGAATTGCTTCATGTTTGGCTGTTTTCTCAGCACTGATGAAATAGCATTTTCTGATCCGACACCAGATGGCAAGTTATTTGCAACCAAGTACTGCAACACTCCTAATTTTCTTGTATATAATTTTAATAGTTAAAGCTGATTTCAGTTATAAAGCAGTTACTATCTGGATAAGTTCAGAGAAATCATTATTATAAAATACAAACTTTTAATAAAAAAAATACCAGGATTCTCACTTATGCGCGCACACACACACATACACACATATCAGTTTTGTTCCTTCTGAGTTGAAAAGTCAGGAATTAAATTTGTTGAAGATTATCAGAGATTCAAAGGAAGGAAAAATCTTGGGGTGATTGACTGATTAGCAGTGTGAATTGTTAATTACAATTACACTCTGAAATTTTGTAGCTATAACTGGAAAATTACTTGACTGTTACGTAAGAGCATTGACAAAGGAAAGTGATTTTTGTCTAGAAATGTGACCTGGTCTTCTAAAAAACGCACTCTTAGACCAGGATTATCTAATGCCCCATCAGAAGCAAAGAGGCAAATTTACACTTGGGAAAGTAATTTCTATGCTCAATTTGTAAAGGGAATTTCTGAATTTTTTTTTTAAATAGAGGCAGGGGTCTCATTATGTTTTCCAAGCTGGAACTTTTGGGCTCAAGCGATCCTCCGAAAAGTGCTGGGATTACAGTCATGGGCCACCGTGCCCAGCATCATTCCTGACTTTTCTGTATGAAATCTTTATTTGGTAGGCACTCATCTGTACTAACTCAGTTTGAGTATCTTTAGAAAATGTTTAGTATGTCTTTTTTGTAACAAGAAAAAATGGTAAGGATTAATATTATCCTCTTTGCATTTCTGTAGAGCAGAATTCTATAGCTTAATGTTTAATCTTTTTGTAAATAAATCTTCATCTGTCAGATTTAAAATTATACTTAATAATTGCACTATTTCATTAATTTTTTTGTTTGGAAATATTGGTAGTACTGCTTTAGGAACTTATTACTGGCAATTGATGTCATTAACAAAATGCCTAGTTGGAGTAGATGATACGTTTGGCTTCATTTTCTAATTTTTTGCTTATTTAAAAATGCACCTTACTTGTTAAGTAATATGGCAAGTCTTTACAAAATATGTGGTTATAGAACCAAGGTTAGTAAATATGCATATGCTGGTGGATTAGAGACCATGACACTGTGTAAATACAGTGAAATGTTTGCACATTTTACTTGTATAATCCGTGGATACTTTAAAAAGCAAAACATTGTTCAAATTGTTCTGATTCTAAGAAATCACTCAACTGCTAGCAATAAGACTCTAGGCAAGTTGTTTTATAGATTGTAATTATATATAGAACTATTCATCTGCTTTCATTTTATTTGCCTTTAAGTTAACATGGTTCCAAAATTTAAAAGCTTGGGTTCCCAGAAGAATGTGGAAGTGTTAAAATGTGTGTAATTACGCAAACATTTTAATGCTGTTTTGTGCACTTGTTTATTTTTTTTTATTTTATTTAAAAATGTTAATTAGCATTTTGCTTGCTTAATGGTTTTGTGGTCAATTAAAATTACTTAATAGTTTATGTTATACAACTAAATCTGATTTTTTGTATTTTTATCATAATAATATATGTTAAAAAAAATTCATATACAGAAAAAGAGATTGCCAAGAGAAGAGGCTTCCCATTATCCTGCTTTGGATGCAGTGTGTATTACTTCAGATTAACTAAATACATATGCAGTTATTTTGCATCTTGCTTCCCTTCAGTATGTCTTAGATATGTTGTATTTCAGGAACTTTTTCTATTTTAAATGTAATAGCATGATTTGCTGTTGATACTGTTGGCTTGATTGGGTGGATTTTTTGTTTTCGTTTAACACATACAAGAAGCAAGTGCACTGAGAAGGTCTCAAAGCAACAATACCCCAGTGGCAGTGAGCACACCTACCACCCAGATCTTGGTTGGTTGCTTTCTTTTTTTTCCCACCCTAGGCTGAAGTGCAGTGGTACAAACATGGCTTACTGCAGACTTAACCTCCCAGGTTCAAGTGATCCTTCCACCTCAGTCCCCTGAGTAGCTAGGACTACAGGTGTGTGCCACCACGCCCAGTTAATTTGTGTATTTTTGGTAGAGACACAGTTTCACCAACTGGTCCTTAAGCTCCTAAGCTCAAGCAGTCCTCCCGTGGTGCTGGGATTATAGGTATGAGCCACCACACCCAGCCAGATTTTGTTTACTAATTCTTTCCTCCACAAAAGGACCTGGGGCTCTTTGGAGAACTGGCTCATTATAGGGATAGAGCAATGAACGTACAAGATGAGCCTAAATCATCTTGTACAGCAGCCCCCCCGCCATCTGCAATTTTGTTTCCCACAGTTTGTTACCAAAAATATTACATGGAAATTTCTGGAAGTAAGGAATTCATAAGTTCTAAATTCTCATCATTCAGAGTAGTAACAGTGGGTGATAAGTGCTCAGTTAAGATGGAAAAGGCATTAAATTTGTGGGCAGAAGACATGCACAGAAACATTCCGATTGAGGGCAATCAAGTTCAGTACTGTCTGGTTTCAGGCATCCTCCTCGGGGTCTTTGTCATAATTTGTGCCCATATATATGTATGTCTATTTCTGCTGTTTATTCTTACTAGTCTTAAAGGTTTTATTTATGCCAATACCAGACTCTGTTATTGTAATATTGTTTCCTATAGTATTAGTACATAGTCCCACCCTTTTTTTTCTTCAGGAATATTTTGTCTATTCTTGGACTTTGCATTTCCATATACATTTTAGAATCAATTTATTCCACAAAAAGCCACCAACAACAAAAAAGGCTGTTGGGATTTTATTGGAATTCCATCAGATCTATAGATCAATTTGGGAGAACTGATTTTTAGAGTCGATCAGGTATTTGATACTTTTTTTTTTTTGAGACGGAGTTTGGCTCTTTCTGCCTAGGCTGGAGTGCAATGGCTCATTCTCGGCTCACTGCAACCTCTGCCTCCCAGGTTCAAGCGATTCTTCTGCCTCAGCCTCCCGAGTAGCTGGGATTACAGGTGCATGCCACCACGCCCAGCTAATTTGGAATTTTGCTAGAGACCGGTTTCGCCATGTTGGCCAGGCTGGTCTTGAACTCCTGACCTCCAGTAATCCACCCGTCTCAGCCTCCCAAAGTGCTGAGATTATAAGTGTGAGCTACCATGCCGGGCCCATACTTTTTTTTAAGCCTTTGGGAAAAGTTACATCTTGTTTGCTGATACATAAATACAACTTGTAGGTTTTGACTTTGCATTCAGCAACCTTTCTAAACTTAATTCTATTTATCTATTTTTACATATGTAATATCTGTGAATGAGTTTTATTTCTTTTAGAATGTTACAGCTTTTTTGTTCTTACAGTATTGCATCTCTAAGTTTGCCAGTCTAGTACAGTGTTGAATAAAAGCAATGGTAGGGATATTTTTGTTTCATTGCTAATGTAGATAAAGTTTTCAACGTTTTACTATTAAATACTGAAATTTATTATAGCTTTTTTGTAGATAACTTTCTAATATTAAGGAAGTTCCTCTATTCCTAGGTTTCTAGGAGGCTCTCAAATAACTTGAACAGATACTCAGATTTTATACAAAGTCTTTCTTTGTTATTTGGAGGTGATTTTTTTCTTCATTGTTAATATGGCAATTACATTGTTCTTTGAATGTTAAAGCAGTCTAGCCTTCCTGAACTAAATAAACCAAACCTAAGTTGGTCTTGATGTTTTTCTTTTTTATGTTACTGACTTCAGTTAACTAAAAAAAATTTTTTAGGATTTTTCATGTGTTCATGAATAATATTGGGTATCTATAGGATGTTTAGTTTTGCTTTTGTTTTTATTTTCATTCATGACATGTCTTTTTTCTCCATAGATAAGTTTTGCAAAGGGATTTATCAATTTTGTTAGTATTTTTAAAGATTGGCATTGTTAATTCTATCACAGGTTTGTATTTTCTGTAAGTTTTGTTTTTTTTAATTTCTTTCTCTCCTCCCCTCCCTGAAGGGAGGTATTGCGGTCTGAATGTATGCCACCAAAATTCATAGGCTGAAACCCTAACCCCCAAGATGATGTAATGCTTTAATAAGTTGTGCCTTAGGAAGGTGAATGGGTCATGATGGTGGAAGGAACCCTTAAGGATTAGTGCCCTTTAATTCAAAGAGATGTAAAGGGAAAAAGAATTAGCACCCTTATAAGAGGGTGGGGGAGCTCCCTTGCTCTTTCCACCATGTGAGGACACAGCCAGAAGGTGCGTCCTGTGAGGATGCCCTCACTAGATACTACCTTGATCTTGGACTTTCCAGTCTCCAGAACTATGAAAAATAAGTTTCTGTGGTTTACGTGGCACCTAGTTTATGGTATTTTTGTTATAGTAGACTAAGACGGGAGACTGGCTTTGTTTTTCCTAAATTCTTACCTGATATATATAGTATTTGTTATATATAGATTTTTTTATATAGCATTTGTGTAGTTTAAAATCCTTTCTAATTTGTATTCTAATCAACAGATTGTAGAAGATTAAATAGGTTCCAGGAGACATGAAAGCATGATCTTCAACATTTCTCAAGCAGCCGCTGATTATCTCCTTTTATGGTGGCATAACAAGCTCCTGGAAGCCTTCTACAGATTCTAAAGGGAAAGATTTTCTGGGAGGTGAGAAAGCCACTTGAGAGAAGGCTATTTTGATTTACTAATTAATTCAGTGAAAAGGTAGTCCTGGGCATGGCGGCTCATGTGAGGCCTGTAATCCCAGCAGTTTAAGAGACCTAGACAGAGGGTTGCTCAGGAGTTACAAACCAGGCCTGAGCAACTTGGTGAAACCTTCTCTATAAAGAATACAAAATAAGATTAGTTGTGGTGGCACACACGTCTAGTCCCAGCTACTTGAGGTGGGGGCAGAGGTGTGAAGATCACATGAGCCTGGGAGGTCGAGGCTGCAGTGAGCCATGATTGCCCCACTGTATTCCAGCCCGGGTGACAAAGCAACACCCTATGTTATAAAAATAAAAAAAAAAAACAAAAACAAAAACAAAAAACAGGCCTCAGCCAAGTCACTGTTTTGTTTTGTTTTGTTTTGTTTTTTGAGAATGAGGGATATGTCCTAAATGATAACATCTGAGACTTAAAGAGCAAGTTCTAGAACAAGAATTAAACAAAAAAACTTCCAGTTGTAGCAGATTGTCTGCAATCTTGTGTTAGGGATTTCTGGGACCTTAACCAGACTCAAGGGGCAGTGCATGCTGGGTTTATTTTATAATGTCTGCCGTAGACAAGGGCTATGAATTGCTGGCCTCGATTAGTTTATTCCTATTAGATACCCCAACTATCGGAACTGGAAACAGATTTCTCAGTGAAAAGCAATGGCTTATGTGTTAAAAGATCCAATTCAAGAAAGATCCAATTCCTGCTTTTTATGTCTTAAAAGCAGCAACTGCTATTCCTGCTAAGAAAAGAATGGCCTGGAGATAACTACTCTGTTGGCTTGGCAAAAAAGAATGACTCAATATACATGTCGGAGTAAGGAATAAGAGACCCTATCAGGATGCAAAATTACACATAAGTTTTTCTCCAGATTAAGACAACTTCCAATTTGTCGCCTTAATATTTTGATGGGAAAATACGTGAATTAATGATCTGTGTACTGTTTCTTAGTACAATCTTAAACAGGCGTTCAGTGATTTCTAGGCGTTTTTTTTCCTTATTTTTAATTTTATTTCTAAAATATACTATAATACAGAGAGTAACATGAGACCCCTGTGCCTACCATTCAGCTATAACAAATTAGCATTGTATCCTATTTTTCTTGATCAAATGTTGTTATAAAATAAACCATGAAGATAACCATTTAAGCCCAGTCCCTCCATTCCACACAGCTCCTCCCCCAGCTAACCATCACCCTGAATTTTGGTATGTGTCTCTTAAATTCAGTTTTGTCTTTTTTTTTATTATTGCATTTTAGGTTTTGGGGTACATGTGAAGAACATGCAAGATTGTTGCATAGGTACACACATGGCAGTGTGGTCTGCTGCCTTCCTCCCCATCACCTATATCTGGCATTTCTCCCCAAGCTCGCTCTCTCCAACTCCCCACCCACCTCTGTCCCTCCCCTATTTCCGCCCCACAGACCCCAGTGTGTGATGCTCCCTTCCCTGTGTCCATGTGTTCTCATTGTTCAACACCCGCCTAAGAGTGAGATCAGGCGGTATTTGATTTTCTGTTCTTGTGTCAGTTTGCTGAGAATGATGCTTTCCAGGTTCATCTATGTCCCTACAAAGGACACAAGCTCACCATTTTTTATGGCTGCATAGTATTCCATGGTGTATTTGTGCTACAGTTTCCCTGTCCAGTCTATCATCAATGGGCATTTGGGTTGGTTCCAAGTCTTCGCTATTATAAACGAAGTGCTGCAGTGAACATTCGTGTGCATGTGTCTTTATAGTAGAACGTTTGATAATCATTTGTATATATACCCAGTAATGGGATTGCTGGGTCTAATGGAATTTCTATTTTTAGGTCCTTGAGGAATCGCCACTGTCTTCCACAATGGTTGAACTAATTTACATTCCACCAGCAGTGTAAAAGTGTTATTTCTCCACATCCTCTCCAGCATCTGTTGTCTCCAGATTTTTTAATCACCATTCTAACTGGTGTGAGATGGTATGTCAATGTACTTTTGATTTGCATTTCTCTAATGACCAGTGATGATGAGCACTGTTTCATGTTTGTTGGCCTCATATATGTCTTTTGTAAAGTGTTTGTTCATATTCTTCACCCACTTTTGAATGCGCTTGTTTGTTTTTTTCTTATAAATCTGTTTTAGTTATTTGTGGATTCTGGATATTAGCCCTTTGTCAGCTGGGTAGATTGCAGACATTTTTTTCCCATTCTGTTGGTTGCCGATTCAGTCTAATGACTGTTTCTTTTGCTGTGTGGAAGCTGTGGAGTTTGATTAGGTCCCATGTGTCTATTTTGGCTTGGTATTTTGGTCATGAAGTCCTTGCCTATGCCTGTGTCCTGAATGGTTTTGCATAGATTTTCTAGCGTTTTTATGGTGTTAGGTCTAATGTTTAAGTCTTTAATCCATCTGGAGTTAATTTTAGTGTAAGGTGTCAGGAAGGGGTCCAGTTTCTGCTTTCTGCACGTGGCTAGACAGTTTCACCAATATCATTTATTAAACAGGGAATCCTTTCCCATTGCTTTTGTCAGGTTTGTCAAAGATCGGATGGTTGTATATGTGTGGTGTTGCCTCCGAGGCCTCTATTCTGTTCCATTGGTCTATATCTCAGTTTGGTACATGCCGTTTTGATTACTGTAGCCTTTACTAGTTTGAAGTCCGGTAGTGATGCCTCCAGCATTTCTAGGCATTTTTAAAGTTCAGAGTGCAGTTGTTCCAAATGTTTCTAAGAACCCTATGTCTGTAATTTTTAAAATTCAGGTGTACACCCAAATCTAGGTATACCACATACATTCAGTAATTTGGAAAATTCCCAGGGGACTATGGCTCACAGAAACTACTGATCCAAAACCTATTACGATTAGCAAAATAAGGCCAAGAGAGGGAAGGAAACCTACTGACCTGCAGTCAACAAGTACTCAAATCAATTAAGGATAAAATAATGCTTAGACAGTTTCTGGTACTCAGTGTCCTTTATTCTCTATCATCGTATTTGAGTTTTATTGTTTTTACAGAATTGGGAAATACTTAAGGTACAAATTAATAAATTTAAAAAAAATCTTAGTATAGAAAATACGTTTAATAAACTAAAGCAAAAAACTAAGATCTGAGAAGATCCAAGAGATCAAGACAAGCTATAACCCGAGTCTCAAGTATCCCAGGAGGTATTCTTTCTGAGTCCTATTCTCCTCAGTTTCCAGTTATTTGATAAACACATCAGCAAAAGGTTCAAAGTTTTAAAATATAAACAAATACAGATTTTATTTTGTATTGTACAAAATGCTCATTTCTGTAGATCCATTAAAACAATATTTTAAAAAGATCATTAATAAAAGCAATGATCACTAAAATTAATGTTATACAGTTTACAGTATTTTATTGCTAGTGTTTTAATTCTGCATGAGCAACATTAAAGTACTTAAATAGCTAGTTTCTAAAACTTTACAGAAAACCCAGTACAATTCCAAGTGCTTATAACAAGTATGAAATATGCTTATATTAGAAATAGTTATCTACATATTAACAAGAAACTGTGGTTCTCAAATATGCCAATTTTAGAGAGCCTAATAACTACTAATAGTAACTATATAAATGTTTTGGGAAAAAGTTACATATAAAAGCCATACTTCAGCTGAAGTGATAACTAGACATCAGTTTCCAGAGCTTCAACAATGTGTGCAGCAGAAGGACGATCTTTAGGGTCTTCATTAGTACATACAGAGAAGAGTTCAATTACTTTCTGGTATGATTCATCTAGTTCTTCCATATTAATAGGTGGCCTAGTTCCCAAAGCTGCATAGTATGCTTCATCATCAAAATCACTTTCATCAAAAGTTTTATCTTGAAGGAGATTAAAACAATAAGGAAAATCACTTTACATCGTGGAAAAGCCTAAGAGCTCAACCTCCTCCTGAAATAAGAATTTATGGTCCAGTATGGTTTCCAGTCAGCCACAGACAGTTTAATTGTCTTGCCTTCAAGTAGATTGGCTTTAGTTTGGATTTATAGGTTATAGACCCCTATTCCCACCCTTCCTATGACAGCTTTCCAATCTTTTTCTCAGGTAAGGATAGTTTTAAGGTAATTTTTTGCTTCTCTGGACAGCCTCAATTTTTCTCCCTATTCTCAATCTACATCTCATTTGTGTGAGATTAAACCTTGGTGGTACCAAATCAGTCATCAGTACTAATTAATATATATCTTAGAAATTATGCCACTAAATCATACAACTTGCTCTTTCAAATTTTAAAAGATAAAATATATAAACTAATCTTTAGTATGAAATGAAGAGATTTGGATTTACTGTTAGAAATTGTATTCATTACCTTCATCATCATCATCATCATCATCATCATGATTTGAAAGATTAACGTGTGGAATGGATAAAGTCATCATCTCCCACAGAGTAAGGCCAAAGGCAAATATGTCTGCCTTGTCAGTAATAACACCATTCTCCTCCAAAGCTTCTTTGGGTTTCCATGGCTCTGTGCCAATGTAGCAAGCCTCAGGGTCAGTCACTGAAACAAGCAAAATGGTTATGAAGGCAGGCGCTAGAAATTACAAAAAAGGCAAGCAACCATGATTTGAACAAGTAGTTCACAGGTTAATCAGCGTAACCAGTAAATGTGAAAACACACTTAATAAGGATGACTTTCTACCTTTCGGTTGGTAAATATTCAAGAAGTTGGTTAGTTGGCAAGTATGTAGAAAAACAGCAATTCTCTTAGTAGCAATAGAGAATATGGATGTTGAGAATTACAGACTCTGGAGCCAGACTGCCTTGCTTGGGTTCAAGGACATGTGCAAACTGTGTGACTTTGAGCAGATCACTTCGAGACTGGAATTTCTTCATTTTGTGAACAATTTTAAGCTGAGAGAAGTACCATTTATGTACTTCCATGATTGCTACGTTAGAGAAAAGCTAAAGGGACTAGTCACACATTGGCTCTTTTTAAAAGCCCAAGAAAGAAATGAGTGCACTCACATTTCCATTGAAATTTTAGTCAACTTATCAATTTCAATGAAAAAGTCAGCTAGAATTCTGATTAGGATTGGACTGAATCTCTAGGTCAATTTGGTAAGAATTAACATTATTAGTATTGAGTCTTCCAAACCACGGTCATATATTTTTCCACTTAGTTACATTTTCTCAGTGATGCTTTATAATATTCATTACAGAGGACTTAGACTTTTTTGATCATTACGTTCTGAAATATTTTGAGTTTGGGTACTTGTAAATGGATTTTAAATAATTCCATTTTCAATTATTTACGGCTAATACATAGAAATATCACTGGCTTCGCTTAATCTAGTAGATTCCCTGGGATTTTCTATCTAAACAACATATCAACTGCAAATACTTCCTTGCCTTACTTCAGTGGCTAGGGCTGTAGTACTGTTAAATAGTGGTAAGAGAAGGCATCCTGGCTTGTTCCCTACTACGGTATGCTACCTGCAGGTTCTTCTGTAGACAGCCTTTCTCAAGCTAAGATCCCTTCTATTTCTAGTTAGCTGAGAGATTACCTTTTTTTTTTTTAAATCAAAAATGGATGTTGGATTTTGTCAAACATGTTTTCTGCACGTGAGATTGAGATGATACATAGTTTTCAAATTTGTTAATATGGTGATAGACTGTCCCCAGCTTTCAGGTATAACTGACAATTATATGAGTTTAAGGTATACAACTTGATGTTTGATATACATAAACACTGTGACCTGACGGCCACAGTCAAGCTAATTTACATATCACTTCATATAGTTACCATTTTCTTATTGTGTGAGAATACTCAAGATCTGCTCTCAGCAAATCTCAAGTGTACAGTATTGTTAACAAAGGGCACAAAGTTTCCATTATGCAAGGATGAGTAAGTTCTGGTGACCTAAAGTATAGCACAGTGAGGACACGTGAATCTGGAATGTTAAACTTTTCTTTCCTGGACTTAGTGTCCTTATGTACTGCTGGACTGAATTTGCTAATATTTTGTTAAGGATTTTGATATCTGTGGTTGTGAACGATACTGAACTATCATTTTTTTTTTATTCTGGTTACATAGCAGGTATACATGTTTATGTGTTGATCAGAAATTTTGATAAAGGCATGCAGTGCATAATAATCATATCAGGATTGATGGGCTGTACCGTAATACGTTGGGTTTTCATATTAGAGTTATGCTTACCTTAGAACAAACTGGGCAGTGGTCCCTATTCCTCTATTATCTGAGCAAATCTGTGTAAAATCGGTGCCATTTCTTCCTTGGATATTTGGTGAAAATCAACAGTAAAACATCTGGGTTTGAGTTTCTTTGTGGGGATGTTTCGTTAATAGACATACAGCTATTTGGATTTCCTACTCTTGCATTAATTTTGGTAAATTGTCCTTTTCATCTAAGTTGTCAAATTTATAGCCATAAAGGTGTCAGTAATAGCCTAATTCTTTAAATGTCAGAATTTACAATGATGACCCTTTTTTCATTCCTGATATTGGTGACTTCTGTTTTTTCTTGATCAGTCTAGATACAGTTTTATACACTTCATTATCTTTTCAGATAACCAGCTTTTGGCTTTAATATTTTATAGTAAATACTATTTATTTAAATTTATTTTTATTTCATCTAGAATTTTTCAAATATAATTTATAGATTTCCCTCTAAGCCCTGCTATCGCTCGCACATTTTGATATGTTGTATTTTCCTTATTATTCCCTTGTCATTTTCTTTGACCCATAGGTTATTTAAATTTGTGTTACTGAATTTCCAAACACTTGGGGTTTCCTTGGATATCCTGTTTGTGGTTTCTAAGCTAATTCCATTGTGGCCAACCTATATACTCTATGATTTCTCCCATAGTGTTGTACAGACCTTTATTTCTGCTGTAACTAGGAGAAACTCAGAATATTCATTAGGCAGTGTTAGAGTGTATTATACTAAAAAATGAATTTTTTCAGTATTTGATTACTATAATCTCCATTTTCTCACAAATAAGATAAATCATTTTGAAACAACAGAAGACACAGTGGGGCAGTTTTCTGAAACAGACTTCTCCAGAACTGAAGGTAAGTTCTGTCTTGAGAAACTCAATAAATTTACAAGGCAAGGAAGAAGAAACTAACATTTATAAAACAAAAAGGAGGACTAAAAAAAGGAAAAGTGATGACCCAAGAGAAGATTCCATTTAGACTTAAAAAGGAAAAGTGAGAATCTAGAAGCCAAGAAATTGAAGATTCCAGTTAAACACTAATTTGTTCCATTAACATTCTGGGAGGTATGCCTGATAAATGAACAGGCTCTGTTAAGTGAGAACAAAAATACCTAGACTAGGAGGGTACCCATTACCCGCAGACAAGAAGGAAAGATGAGTGATGTCTCTTTGGAGCCTTTGTACTTAGTTCTGTTTGGGCCTCTAAAGTTTAAAAGTCATAATATCCATGACTAAGCTCCTTAAAGGCTTTCCCTCATACTATACTTTATATCTAAGAGGCACTTCATGGAATTCATGACAAGAGAAGAGCCTACAGGCATGGCCCAGGTGGGAATGACTCTGGCAATAAGAACATAAACATTTTTAAAGGTTTTTCTTATTTTAAATACAGATTTCTAAACTGTCATTTGAAAGGTTCTGTCATTTCTGAGCTTGAGCATTTAACTTACCAGTGCAAGACTTTTCAATGAAAATTTCTATGATGATTAAATGTCCTAAATCTGCATCGTCCAATGTGGTAACCATTAACCGCATGTAGCTAACTGAGCACTTGAATTGGGGCTAGGGTGGCTGAAAATGTTTTAAATAGTAATGTACATAGCCACATGTAGCTCCTAACTACTGTACTGAATGCTTTGTCACCCTCCCCATAATGATGGCTATGTTCCATAGGTCCTAAAGGGGGAATGACACAGAACATGGCACTAATGGCCATGCAGCCTGAGTAATAAGTCACCGATGTTTTTGAGGTCTATGTTACCACAGGGAAACCTATTCTTACCTCAGTACAACAGCAGTTTAAAACTTCTACTTAGTATCGTTGCTCATACTAGCAATCTTTTTATTTACTAGAAATCTTGTTATCCCTTCAATAATATATTTAAAAGTCAGGCACTATTCTAGGGGTTGAGGATATTTCAGCGAACAAGATACATAAGATTCCCATCTTAGAGCTTACAAGTCTAATGGAGGAATGTTTAACAGACAATTTAAAGTGTTGATAGATTAGTTCTCTCATTGTTACTTAGCTTTTAAAAAATTAGAACATTACATATATATTTTTCTAATAAACCTTTTTTTCATTTCTCAACAGTCTCTTCATGATAGAGCTTTTATCTTTTTTTCATTTACTGCTAATAACTCTGAATGCATTAGAAATAGTAAGCCTTTATCTTATACGTGTTTACCTCAGTTTGTAATGGCTTAAGTTCCCAGCCTCTCTCCAACCCACAGTGATACAGAATTTTTTTTTTAATGGAGGTACTCACAGCTTTTTAATGATGGTTTCTAGCTTTGATGTCCTCTTTAAAGTCCTCTCCACACCCAACATTAAAGAAATATTTATCTACAATTTTTTCTATTTTCCCCCCAATTTTCAGAATACGGGAATTAAAGTATGAGGATAGAAAACAGCTGTTTTTTCCTAAAATGTCCAGATAACTTCATTCACTAACTACCTATTTTCTCACTAATACAAAAATTCCACCTTTATCACACAACCAATTCCTCTACTTGGAAACTATTTCCTGACTCTCATGTATCACTGCTTTAATTACTGTAGCTTTATAAAACTTTTTATCTGGTCAGGAAGATTCCTCCTCATTCTTTCAGGAGACTTTTCCCAGCTATGTTTGAACGTGTATCAAGGAAGAACTTTAGATTCATTCTGACATGTTCTAAAATAGATCACATTAAGATTATGTAGAATTTATGCTTGCTTTCTGTTCTTCTTACAGTATCTTTTTTTTCAATTTCAGTTGAATATTCAATTTCATAAAATGTTTGAGTAGTTCTGACCATATCAAATAGTTTCACTTGTTATATTCTCTTTATTTTCTAAACACTTTATAAATGGAAACTGATTTCTCTCTTTAGCCAAAAATTATTCAGAAGTGTTTTAAATTCCTAAAAAGTTGGGAGTTTTTGTTTTCTATGTTATTACAAATTTCTAGATTTACAGGATTTATGTTAAGGAATATCACTTACTAGACTTTATACTTTTTATAGTAAGTTTGTGTGACCTAAGAATATTGTCGGCCAGGCGCAGTGGCTCACGCCTGTAATCCCAACACTTTGGGAGGCCGAGGCAGATGGATCACGAGGCCAAGAGATCGAGACCATTCTGGTCAACATGGCGAAACCCCGTCTCTTCTAAAAATACAAAAAATTAGCTGGGCATGGTGGCACGTGCCTGTAATCCCAGCTACTCGGGAGTCTGAGGCAGGAGAATTGCCTGAACCCAGGAGGCGGAGGTTGCGATAAGCGGAGATCGCGCCATTGCAGTCCAGCCTGGGTAACGAGTGAAACTCCGTCTCAAAAAAAAAAAAAATATTGTCAATTTTAATACCTACTATGGTGCTGAGGGACTTGCCTTGCTATTTACTCAGATCTTTAACATCCTTACATTTGTTTGTTTGATCTATTAAGGACTGAGAAAACTATATTTTAAAAACCCTGTTTGATTTGATTATGTTTGACAATTTATTCTTTTACTTCCTAAAGTTTCCACTTGGTCACAGTTATTTAGAACAACAGTTCTGTTCATCCTGGCTCTTGCCTTCAACTTTTATTTCAGCTAGAAATTTAGGCATATTTATGTTCTAAACAGCATTTATTAACCATTTGTTTAACTTACGTTCATATAAAGAGACAAATTTAAGTATTATTTACTAAATAATATGTTGCAAGCAGAGGCATTCTCTTGAGGCTAGCTCCTATTTCTCACCAAGAACGTATCTTAAATTCCCTGAGAAGCCAATGATCAGTATTTATAGTAGAGAAGAAAGAGCTGGGGTGGGCCAAAGGGCAAAGAGCCCAAGACCAGCCTTCATCAGCACTGCTAATTCTGGTTTCCTCTACCAGGTTCCTAAATGTTGTCACTTTACTGATGCTAAATAAACTGCTTTACAAAACCTTTTACTTTCTATTCCCACATGTTTTACTGCATAAACATCCCAATTCAGTTAGAAATTTTTCCCAAAATTGCCGGGCGCGGTGGCTCAAGCCTGTAATCCCAGCACTTTGGGAGGCCGAGGCGGGTGGATCACGAGGTTGAGAGATCGAGACCATCCTGGTCAACATGGTGAAACCCCGTCTCTACTAAAAATACAAAAAATTAGCTGGGCATGGTGGCGCGTGCCTGCAATCCCAGCTACTCAGGAGGCTGAGGCAAGAGAATTGCTTGAACCCAGGAGGCGGAGGTTGCGGTGAGCCGAGATCGCGCCATTGCACTCCAGCCTGGGTAACAAGAGCGAAACTCCGTCTCAAAAAGAAAGAAATTTTTCCCAAAATTAACTCCAATTAAAATATACACTAATAATGCCACTATACTAATACAGTAATTTATACTGTACGTGTAGCAAGGGAGAGGGCTGCATACTGACTGGGAAAGAAAAAACAAGGGGCTTTTTTACCATATACTTCTTAAAAGTGTTTGATTTTTGATCCATGTGGACTTCTGTATTTAAAAATGTAAACATTAAAAACAAAATTTTAAAACTTAAGAGTACGACTTACCAGTCATGTTTTCATCCAGTGGCAGAGAGACTCCTACATCGCAGATTTTAATTGTTTCAAAATTGCCTTTAATTACAACATTTGAAGACTTTATGTCTCCATGAAGCAGTTTCTTTTCTTGGTGCAGATACTAAAATAGTAAAAAATTTAACACACATGAGCAGAAATATAAACTAATAAAAAATGTAATAACTTCCAAATCAAAATAACAATTTGAACTCCCTAAAGTTTAGGCTTGTATTTGTCCAACATTAAATTTTTTGTTTTTTTTTTTTTTTTTTTTTTTGAGATGGACTCTCACTGTTGCCCAGGCTAGAGTGCAATGGCACAATTTCGGTTCACTGCAACCTCTGCCTCCTGGGTTCAAGCGATTTTCCTGCTTCAGCCTCCCAAGTAGTTGAGACTACAGGTGCACACTACTACACCTGGCTCATTGTTATGTTTTTAGTAAAGACAAGGTTTCACCACATTGACCAGGGTTGCCTCGAACTCCTTGCCTCAAGTGATCCACCCGCCTCAGCCTCCCAAAGTGTTGGGATTACAGGTGTGAGCCACTGTGCCCGGCCCAGCATTTCAAATTATTTAAAGCAAGAGAAGGGAACATCCCCCTAAGTCTGCCACACTGACCAGAAGTCTAAAAGTTCCTTTAGGAATAGATATATACTTAAGCTAACTTTTTCTACTGTAATTTTTTTTCCAAGACGGAGTCTTGCTCTTGTTACCCATGCTAGAGTGCAATGGCACGATCTGGGCTCACAGCAACCTCCATCTGCTGGTTTCAAGCGACTCTCCTGCCTCAGCCTCCCAAGGAACTGAGATTACAGGTGCCCGTCACCATGCCCAGCTAATTTTAGCAGAGATGGGGTTTCACCATGTTGGCCAGGATGGTCTCGATCACTTGACCTCGTGATCTGCCCGCCTTGGCCTCCCAAAGTGCTGGGATTACAGGCGTGAGCCACCACGCCCGGCCCTTTTGTATATTTTCATGCGTTTAGTTACACAGTACTTAACACTGTGTTACAATTGCCTATAGTATTCAGTATACTAACATTCTATTACAGGTTTACAGCCTAGGAGAACTGGGCTATACCACATAGTCTAAGTGTGTAGTTGGCTCTACCACCTAAGCGTGTGTAAGTACACTCTGTGATGTCTACACGCACAGTGATGAAACTGCCAAATGAGACATTGCTTAGAACATACTAAGCTACATACACATAAATGTAATTCGGAAGCAGAAATGTAAGCCTGTATTTTTACATTAGCACCTTATTGGAATTGACTAGTAACAATATTCCACATTCAAAGATGTCCTGCAAAGTGATTATTTGCTCATTTAAAATATAATGACATAGTTACCTTTAACCCTCTTGCCATATTCAAAGCAACTTTCAAAATTACGGCTGCTGGAAAAGGATCTCGGCTGTCTTTATATCTTTCTTCTATTAAGTCATTTAGAGACTTTTCACCTCCATATTCCATAGCAAGACACAGAGTGCCATCACTGGCTTCAGTAAAAGCACGATAACCTTGAAAACATGACATTTCTTTACTAATATGGAGAAGAACAATAATATTTTAAGTGCTTTATAGTAATGCGATTGAAAACATGGACCTGGGCTAACACTAACAAATATACAATGAAACAGCTACTAGAAGACTAATTCAGTAGATCTCATTTAAAATGCCTTCAGTGTTTGCCAGTAGTACCACAAATTAAAACTTTTGCTTCCCTAAATATAATGGTTTCACCAGCCCTGCTTGTATTAAAAATGAAATCCAGCCAGGCGCGGTGGCTCAAGCCTGTAATCCCAGCACTTTGGGAGGCTGAGGCGGGTGGATCACGAGGTCAAGAGATCGAGGCCATCCTGGTCAACATGGTGAAACCCCGTCTCTACTAAAAATACAAAAAAATTAGCTGGGCATGGTGGCGCGTGCCTGTAATCCCAGCTACTCGGGAGGCTGAGGCAGGAGAATTGCCTGAACCCAGGAGGCGGAGGTTGCGGTGAGCAGAGATCGCGCCATTGCACTTGAGCCTGGGTAACAAGAGTGAAACTCCGTCTCAAAAAAAAAAATGAAATCCAGGAAATTACCTATATGGATTTAAATTATCTAAACAAAGATCATTTTATATTCCTAAAATCTTCATAGAACTAGCAACAATTATATCTATTCTCATGAAGTTTAAATATATACTTATGCATAAAAAATATTACATGCAAATTTTTTTAGACTGATCACATTAATTTGATTCCCATGAAACATCCAGCCCTATCCTCTTCATTTCTGTCAGTGAAACCAGTTAAGAGAGCATAGAAGCTGTTTCTGAATAAACAATGATGTACCAGATGCTGCTACCAAATTTAAACTTACCAACAATGTTTGGATGATGAAGGTTTTTCAAAATCTTAGCTTCATCAATTAGTCTCTTTTGATACACACTTCGATAATGATCATTACATACAGGATTAATCTTTTTTACAGCCCAAGGAGAATGAGACAAACCTTTTGGAGATCTAAGAAAATTAAAAAGGACAGAAAACAGCAAACACCACAATACTTTTTTAAACAATTAACTTCCAAATTTGGCAGGGAAAACTTGAAGGTAATTTGTTTTAAAAAACAGTATTTGGCATATTTTGGACTATCAACACCTCCGCTACATTTCCATTTCGATTGGGAGATAAGATCTAATATACTGAGAGAAGTCTTAGTGTCTTCACAGTGGGGAGGATAAACAGAACTTGACGGGTAAAGATGGAATGTTACAAACTTTAAACCTGAAAATTGCTACTTTCTAATTTTTCCATTTGAGCACGTTGGACCACTAACTACTTAGTAAATATTATACGTATCAGATGAGTTATAGGATGCTAAAGAAAAGACATTAGGAAGCAAGAGATACTAGAGAACATTTTGCCCATATATCATCATCCAAAACTAGCATGCTGTTCTTTACCAACAATTATTGCTCCCCTACACTGAGCAATTCATCTTACGCCTTCTACCACATGCTCAAAGATACGTGCTTACAGAGATAATGATAAACATACAAATGAGAATTTAAACTTTCTATTTTCTAGGAAGATTCAGGCATTTTATAAACATATAAGGTCTAAATGTTTTAAGGCCTAAATAGTTCAAATCAAGTCAGGGAAAGGTTTACCTGAGATGGTAGTGATTTATGAATATAGCAAATCACAAAATACTAAGTATCTGTAGCGTAACAGTACAAAAACTAGTGAAAGAGCCCCAAAAGTTGAAGACAAAGTTTAATGGTAAGAGCACAAGAAACTGAACCAAAGAACTATTTAGCTTTGCACTCCCTCAGAGTTCTACAGCTGCAGAACCTTTTGTTTGATCAAAAAGCCTATTCTAAAAGTATCACAAGATTTCTTAATTCATATACATCTATCCGTAAGTTTAAACTATTCTTAAACCTCCAGTTTTAGGTAACAGTAGCATTTGAGGATTATGGTGAACATCTGCACATCATTTTATTATGAAAAATGTATTTTTCAAGTTTCAAAGGTTGAACGTTTAAAATTTAGTAGACAAGTTCATCTTCACCTTTTCCATAAAATACTCTATTCTGCACATTAAGAATAGATTTATGAAACCTGAATAAAATATTCGACCATGCAAAAAGCTGGTTCATTAAAAAGACTAACAGAAAACAGGCAAAGTTCTGATGAGAATACAGAAAAAATAAAAGATAGTATCACAAATAAGAAATGGAGACAAAAACTACAGATACAAGAGAAAAAAATAAATAAAACCTTTATGCCAGTTATTTAAGACAAAATAGACAAAGACACAGAAACATCTAAGAAAACTGATTAATGAAGAAATTTAATCACCAGTTTAAAATGTTCTGTAGGGTGGGGAAACCCTGCAAGTGCCGTGGCAAGGGTCTCAAGCCTCAGCTTGTTCCCATATAAATATTGATTTAAAAAGAATTAGAAATGTAGGCACGTAGTTATATGATCATATATAATCTTTATAGTTTCTTAAAATTAAAGATACATACTTTATGTAATCATAGATCATCTTGTAGTTATAAAGATATATACTCAATATAACTTTTACTAATGACTATCAGGTTATGAAGCATGGAACTGAGGTGACATTGTGAATAAAGTGATCCTAAGACAAGATGCTCTAAACCCTCTTCTGACCCCCGCATAAGGGCCGATGGAGGTCACCTCGGCTGTGCAGCAGCACCGGTACTGTGAAAGCACCCGGTGTTTAGCCAGCTAGGGGAAGAGATGTCCAAAACGACCAAGACATCTCCTTCCTGGGGAAGTCAGGAGAAAACTCTGCTTCTCTATGCTTTTGTGGCAAATCCAGGGGCTTAACTGTCTCTCTGTGATGCTGTGCCTTCGGTGGTCACATTCCATGTCTATTCTCCCACCTTGCTTCTGCACCCGGTTTCTCTTTTTCTTAAAAGAATAATAGTAATCTTAGTGTCCTTGATATTTCTGACAAATATGCAAAGAGCACTGATGCATTAGCTTTTCTCCTCGCCTCAGCTACTTGAAAGTATTGGGCCTCCATTTCCAAGATACATGATTTACCTGAACCTATCACCGACCACCGTTACCGCACCCAACCTTCCCTGCCCAGTGTTTTGTACTCAATAAAAGTCAGAGTGTCCAGGCATTCGGTGCCACTGCAGGTCTCCACACTTTGGTTGGCAGTGGACCCCGGAGCCCAAACTCTCTTTTCTCTACCTCTGTGTCTTTTATTTCTACAGTTTCTCTTCGCACCGCACCAACAGAGTGGGGGTCCCTGAACCCTATAGGGCTGGAACCTATAATGTTCCTACTAGAAATACAAGGTGTAGATGAGTTTATTAAGCTTTCAAAGGAATTACCATTCAGTCCATACAAACTGTTTCCCCAGGGAACAGAAAAGGGACTCTAAGTCTCATATAACTTTAATTTTAAAAAATTAAAGGGACAGTAGAAAAAGGGAAACACAAGCCGACTTCACTTGCAGATAAAGAAATTGAAACAAACTTTAATATTAGCAAACTGAATCTATCAATTTATTTAAAAATACTACATCAAAACTACGTTGGATTTAACCTAGGAATGCAAACTTGATTTAACAATTAAAAAAATATCTTCTGGGTTAAAATTGTAGCTTTAACATTCACATTGTTTTTATCCTTTCCAAGCCCACCAAAATAATAGCAAATGGTTATTTTAAAGACATAACAGCCAGCAAGAATGGAAATAACAGCAGAAGAGACAACAGCAACAAAATTTCAGAAGCTGGAAAGCAGATTAAACTGACTTAACAGCCCCAATGAATTGCTTGCAAGTTATTTAAAAAGTAGGTAGGGCTGTAAGGGGTAGCTTACAACCGTAATCTCAACACTTTGGGAGGCCAGGTTAGGAGCATGACTTGAGGCCAAGAGTTTGAAACCAGCCTGGGCAACAGTAAGACCCCTTCTCTACAAAAATTTTTAAAAAGCCACATGTGGTGGCCTGCACCTGCAGTCTCAGCTACTCAGAAGGCTGAGGCTGGAGGATTGCTCAGACCCAGGAGTTTGAGGCTGCAGTGAGCTATGATGGTGCACTGCCAGCCTGGGTGACAAAATGAGACCTTGTCTCTAAATAATAAGTAAAAAACAGGTGGACTCCTACTCTCCATACTTTTGCACCAATTGGCAGCTGCCCATCTCCCATCCCCAGCTTCTAAAGACTGAGCCTGGCTTTGGAAGGGCTAAAACAAGTCTTTAGCCTGAGGTTTACTGGCAGTTGAGAACCTGTAATACAGAAGCAGGGTAATAATCACTATATGCATACTAAATGCTTGATGAGTTTTTACATGTGCATATACCTGTGTTAGCAACACCTAGATACATAACACTTCTGGCACTCCAAAAGACTAAAGATGCTATTTTTAGAAAGGATAATTAATTAAAAACAAGATAAAAACCCAATAGAAATGTTGAAAGATAAAGCTGGGGAAATCTCAGAAAACAGCAAATAAAACCAAGCAAAAAAGAGGTAGATGACAGATCAGTAAGTTCAACATTCAAATAATAGGATTCCAGATGGAGAACAGAGAAAAACGGGTGAAAATCATCAACAAAGTAATTTTTTAAATAATGACTCAAAAATTTAAGAACAGAAACTATCATATTCCAAGAGGGCCAAATCCAGGTGTGTCATTGTGAAATTTCAGAATGCTGGCGACAAATAGGAGATCATACAAGGATCCAGGGCAGTGGGAGGGACAGATAACATAAAACAGATTACATATAAAGAATCAGAAGTCAAAAAGCCTTCATAATTCTCAACAGCAACAGTGTAAGCTAAAAAAACGTCAGTGACTGACATTCTCAAAATACTAGAGGGAAACTGTTTGCAAATGAGAACTGTAACTCAGAAAACCACAAAGGGCCATTCAAGTAAAGTGGAAATTGTGCCCAGGATTTTGTCAGCAGCCGTCCCTATTTTCGTTGGTGAGGAAGGAGACCCAGGCATCCGGGATCACCTCCCCCTCTGTCTTCCACACTGCATTTCGATAGAAGAAAAGGCTGGCTGACTGGTGCCTCCTGAATCACCTTCCTGTAAATAACACGCTTGGTATTGGGGAAACTCTCCGGAAGACACTGTTTTCACTTAAACAAGATCAAACCTCCACCCCACTCCATCAGGAGACCAGAACCTTTTCACATGTGATTTCTAAAACCGTAAACCCGAAACATTTTCACATGTGATTCCTAAAGCTGTAAATTCAAAACCCTTTTACTCATGATTTCTAAGGCTGTAAACCTGAGATTCTTTCACATGTAATATCGAGAGTGTAAGCCTATATAACGGCAAAACCTTTGTTAGATGAGCTGGGTTCAGATAAATCATTGCCCAGCTCCCAGCCGTAATAATAAACCCCTTCCTCCCTCGTCCGGTGTTCGGGAGCTCTGTTTCTAATGGCTGCTCCTGCTACATTAGTAACTGCCTCTTTTTGCTTCTGTACTTCAGCTTATTGCTTACTAACTGGAACACCGTAAGAGAAACTGCTTTTTCTAAAACCTGCTGCATTACTAAAGTCCTGAGTTACTCTCCCTGCCTCTTTATCTATAAAAACTGTGTACTTTTCTTAGCTGGGGTCCAGATTTTTTGGCCATGAACCCTTAAAGTGTGTTCCTCCGATCCCCCGAGTGCCACTTGGGTTTCTTGTCAGGTAAGATTTTCCACAACACAAGTAACATTTTTGAAAATGCAAAATCTCAAAAAATGTATCTTCTGTGCCCCAACTGATGGGGAGCTACCAGATGCCCTACGTGAAAATAGGATGTAACCCAATTAATAATAAGATACAGGAAATTTGCAGGTTATGGATAAAAGAAATCCCAGGTTGGCAGGGCTGAATCTGGAGGAGTGGGTAGGGTCAGGCAGGCAGTGCTGTTTTCCACCATCAGCTATTTGAAGCTTTTTGACTAAACCACATATAGTGTAACTTCGTTAAAAAAAACTTTTAAGAGGGGAAAATAATTAAACTATAAACAGCTATAAACCTGTTAATTTTTTTCTTTCAAAATAACTTAGCAGTCAACACTAAAAAAAAAATAGAAAACACATTAATACCATATAAACATACAAAAGAAGTATTTAAACTGCAAAAATGCTTCAGGAATACCCATTGTATACAATTACTAAATTTTTTTTTTTTTTGAGATGCAGTCTCTGTCACCAGGCTGGATCACTGCAACCTTTGCCTCCCAGGTTCAAGTGATTCTCCTGCCTCAGCCTCTCCAGTAGCTGGGACTATAGGCACGCACTACCACATTCAGGTAATTTTTTTGTATTTTTAGTAGGGACAAGGTTTCACCATGTTGGACAAGAAGATCTTGATCTCCTGATTTCGTGATCTGCCTGCCTTGGTCTCCCAAAGTGCTGGGATTACAGGTGTGACCCACCACGAAGGCTACTAAATTGTTCTTAATTAGGCTCTTATTAAAGAAAGCGTTTCTATCTGCAAAAAATGTAAACCTAGATGGAGCTAAGATACAGAGGTACAGAGGGTTGCACTAGTCAAGCCGATTCCAAGAATGCATCAAGGAATATATACTGACTTAGTTATTTACCACTTAATAAACATGAAACTAGGTACAGAGTAATGATTAGAAGTAATTTTGGGCTGCGCATGGTGGCTTACACCTGTAATCTCAGCACTTTGGGAGGCTGAGGCAGGCAGATCACATGAGGCAAGGAGTTCGAGACCAGCCTGGCCAACATGGTGAAACCCCGTCTCTCCTAAAAATACAAAAATTAGCTGGGCATGATGGTGCACACCTGTAATCCCAGCTACTCAGGAGCCTGAGGCAGGAGAATCACTTGAACCTGGGAGGTCTTGCGTGCCACTGCACTTCAGCGTGTGTAACAGAGTGAGACTCTGTTTCAAAAAAATACATGCAAAGAGGTAATTTAAAAAAACACTTTGTTGACAGCTATATTAGCTACTGGCACCATACTTGTTCAATTATTTCATTTTTCTTTTAACACAATATTCCTACTTTAAAGTCATGTATTTACATTTACTTAATAACAATATCATAAGAAATAAAAACCTTTTACTTATTTTAGTAGAAAATATCTTAGGACCGCAACGCCGCGGAAGGAGAGCGAGCAGTCACTGACATCGCCCACAACAGGCTTCCTCTTTGAGGCTTCCTCATGAATCTGGTTTAATTACCACAAAGGAACTCTTTCCCCTGCCACTTCCCCTTCCTATGGAAGCCAAGGAAAAATTATAAAGTAAATGACTTCCCCTTTAATAATCCATCAGAAGGAAGCTAGGAGAAAAGCAGAGGCAGAGCTACTGTTATACAAGGGTCTAGGGATTGAAATACAGTTGTCAGCCAGGATCAGGAACACACACCACCTCTCCAAGTACAGTAGAATTATATTTCCATGCAAAAACGTTAATCTGAAATCTCATGCTTACCTTTTCATTAGGTAAACATTTACCCCAGTACCAAAGCCAAGCTTCTGCATAAACGGAGAGGCCGGGATATTTATAGTTGGAGTTGAACATAATACTAAATGTCAGAGAAATAAAAAACAAAATTAGTATTAGGTCTTTTCAAGACGTCTACAAAAGCATCTTGACATTCTCAGTATACCACTGCCAAAAGTCTTTCTGGAGAGCAATTTGACACCTACCCTAATTTTAAATGGGTGTACCTGTGGGAATAGATGGCCAGGGGCAGACCTGTGTTATTTACAGTTAAATGATTACAAGCTTCCTTTCCTTTAATTCACTGAGATTTGTGCCCCGGATCATATCCAAACTATGGTGCAGTAAAATAAAAGCAGAGATCAAGCGGTAACAGGAGGCCTACGGTAAAGACCATCTGAGAGCGTCTGTGACAGCGGAACACTGTGATGTGGCTGCAGAGCAGAAAAAAATGCTTTGGTCCCACAGCGTTTCCCAACATTGAGTTTGTGTGAGGATCTCCTAAAGGGAGCTTATGCAAAACACTCTGGAAGTAATGCAACCTCTGCTCCTAAGACTTGGGAGGTCTTTGCAGATGGGTGCTGGTAGGCCGGAAGGCCTTACAGGGCACAGAGACACCAGAATGCCACAGGCTCTGCCGATGGTCTCAGAATATGGAGCAATTCCGATTGCTCTGCATCCACAATGCTCAGGAGATAAAAAGCCCCTTGATGCATTTTGTGTGTGGTCAACCTTATGGCACCTTATCCCTATACCTGTTGCCAAAGCACCTAGTTGGACAATGGGTGGTAAAATCTCAGTGTCCTTGGTTTGCTATTGGATGCTGCAGACACATCCTCTTCCCCCCCACCCCCCGCCCCATCTTCCTCCTCAACCCCCCTCCCCACAGCCTGCAAGATTAACAAGATAATACAGCTAATAAAAGCACTTGGAGCCCAAAGCTCACGGCCAAGGCTGATCACGCTGCAAGAGTGCACTGGACCCCTGGACCCATGCTTTAAAATTCTATTCTTGTGTCTCTGTCTTTCTTTTCTCACTCCCTGGTCATGGCCGTGAGGTGGGGCACCCATGCACATGGTTGGACTGGTTCCCAACATATACCCTTGGATCAAGGTTTTGGAGTTTTCTCCTACAGTAACACTGAAGCAGAGAGTTGGGAAATGGCCTGTTTCTGTATGGCCTTCAAGCTAAGAACTGCTTTCACATTTTTAAAGCATTGTTTAAAGACAAATGGGTTGGATATGGTGGCTCATGCCTATAATCTCAACACTTTTGGAGTCTGCGGCAGGAGGATCACTTGAGCCCAGCAGTATGAGACCACCTTGGACAACATAGAGAGACTCCATCTCTACCATTTCTTTTTAATTAGTCAGGCATGGTGGCACACGCCTGTGGTCTCAGCTACTTGGGAGAATCACTTGAGCCTAGGAGGTTAAGGGTGTAGTGAGCCATGTTCATGCCATTGCATTCCAGCCAGGGTAACAGAGCAAGACCGAGTCTTAAAAAAAAAATGGTGTTCTGCTTCTGCACATGAAAAAGTAACTACTATTGGACAATTAACTGCTCCTAGAGTAACCAATTCTCCATGAACTAGAAAACCAGACAAAATGTAACTGTTCTCAGACATCTAACAGGCAGAGCAGCATTGTGATCCCTGAGAGAAGAGAAACAAATGAGATAAGCCCTATCACTACCCTAACTTACTGCTTGAAGGCAGTTTCCAGACTGCAGGACAAAGGTTAACATAATCCAGCAGTCCTGTCACATTAAGGAGACAGAGATCAGAGGTCAAGAAGGACTAGGTGGCTAGAATTTGTGGAGCAGAGAACTAAAGAGAAGAGAGCTCCAAAGAGAGAGGGCACTCCAAATATCTGAAAGGTCTTTCAGTGTCTGGCCAAGTACTTATCAGCACATAACAATGGACAGAAGCCCCAAAGCTGAGAAAGCACCTGAGGAAATCAATTGGCTCAACAATTACCAGAGATCATACAGGTCTAGGAACACTTCATGTAACCATCAGCCAGAGAGTGACAACCCTGTAACACACAGTAAAGCCCTCTAAAGGGTCACAACTAGATAGTACAGCTAAATTTTACCTCAAGATAAAAGTTCCTAACAATGCTTAAAAGCCAGTCTCAAAAGGAACAGGCTAATGTCCAGGTAACTTAACCTCAGACCATAACTAAATCAAACACCCTTTAAAGGAATAACAAAATCCAGTACTAGACAATGCAAAATACCTACCACCCAATCAAAAAGTACTAGGCATGAAAGCAGCAAGAAAGATGACCCATACAAAGAGAAAAAACCAATAGAAACATACCATAAGATGATAGGGGGCCAGGCATGGTGGCTCACACCTGTATTGGGAGGCCAAGGCAGGCAGATCACTTGAAGCCAGGAGTTCAAGATGACCAGCCTGGCCTAGGTGGCGAACCCCATCTCTACTAAAACTACAAAAAGTAGCTGGCCATGGTGGCATGCACTTGTAATCCCAGCTACTCCAGAAGCTGAGGCAGGAGAATTGTTTGAACCCCGGGGGGATGAAGGTTACAGTGAGCTAGCACCACTGCACTCCAGCCAGGATGACAAAGCAAGATTCTGTCTCAAGAAAATCATTAAAAAAAAAAAAAAAAAAAAGACAGGGATAGCAAAATTAGCAGATAAGAACCTTAAGACAAATCCTAAAAATATTCTCAATGATATATACGAAAGTCTGACCATAAGGGAAAAAAAGATAAAATAAAACCTTAGAAAATGAAAAATACAATAGATAAGAATAACATCATCTTTTAAGACAGAGCAACAAAAACTATCAAAAATGAAGTGAAGAGAGAAAAAAATCAGAAGAAAATCATCCATTACTTATGGGACAATAGCAAAAAAGCAAATTTACATCCAACAATAGACAATTCCATTGGGTATAAATGGTCTAAACAGAGCTGTTCAATACATCATGCTGCCATGTGGAAATCTGTGCTGTCCAGTAAGTTAAGTCAGTTGCTACTGAGCACTTTAAATGTGGCTAGCACAACTGAGGAACTCAAGTTGTAATTTTATTTAATTCTACTTAATTTGTATCCAAAACCTTAAATAGCCACATGTGGCTAATGGCCAAACAGTCCAATTAAAGGCAATTAAAGTTGTCAAAATGGATAAAAACAAGACATGCCATTTATAATAAACTCAATTTAAATATAAAGACACAAATAGGGCAAGGGTAAAAGGTTGAAATACAACATTAAAACACAAATCAAAATAAATGTGGAGTGGCTCCATTACTATCACATAAAGTGGACTTCAGAACAAAGAGTACCACTGAAGATTAAGAAGGGCATTTCATAATAGTTAAGCTATAAATTCATCAAAAGCAATAACCATCCTAGGCCAGGCACTTGTAATCCCAACACTTGGGGATCTGATTTGAGGTTTATGTATCCTGGTGAATGCTGCATGCACTTTAAAGGGAGGTCAATGTGGGTGGATCACCTGAGGCCAGGAGTTTAGACCAGCCTGGCCAACATGGTGAAAACCCATCTCTACTAAAAATACAAAAATTAGCCCTGCCATGGTGATGCGTGCCTGTAATCGCAGCTATTTCAAAGGCCAAGGCACCAGAATCACTTGAGCCCAGGAGGTAGAGGTTGCAGTGACACGAGATCACACTGTTGGATCTTCAGCATTGGCGACAGAGGGAAACTCAGACTCAAAAAAAAAAAAAAGGAAAGAAATAACTGTCCTAAATGTGTATGTATCTAATAACAAAGCTTCAAAATACATGAAGCATCAACAGATAGAAATTGAGGGGGAGGGTAGGGAGAAGCAGACAATCCACATTGTAGTTCAACTCTCTTCTCTCATAATTAATATAAAAAGTACACAGAACACCAGCAGGTCTATAGAAGACCTGAAGAAAATAACATAAACAGGTCAATCAACTTGACCTACTGACATTTACAGAACACCCCAACAAGAGTAGAAACAAATGCCCATTTTCAAGGGCATGCAACATTCACCAAGACACATAAACCTTAAGTCAGACTGATGAAGGAAAAAATAAAATATAAAATACCAGTACCAGATACGATAAAAGACACTAGAAGGTTAATATGAGTAAATCAAGAATACCTTTACACCAGTACATTTGACAATTTGGAAGTGATGGACATATTCCTTGAAAAACACTAAGAAAATTCACAAAGAAAGTAAGAGATCACTTGAATAGCCCTGTATCTATTAACTGTGAAGTCACAGTTAAGATCTTCTTACTAAGAAAACTCGAAGTCAAGACGGTTTTACTGGTGAATTCTACCAGTTCAAGGAGGAATAATACCAATTCTACATAACTGTTAAAGATATTTCTGTTAAAGAGAAACATTTCTCAGCTTACTTTATGAATACAGAACAACCTAATACAAAAACTAGACAGATATCCCAAAAAAGACAACTGCAGTCCAATATCCCTCATGAATACAGAAAATACCAGCAAATCGGGCAATATAAAACATGTATCATGACCAAATTGGCTTTACACCAGGAATGCAGGGTCAGATTAATACTTGAAGATTAAAATAATTTACCACATTAAAAGATTTAAAAAGAATATAGATTCAGAAAAATCACTCAACAAAGTTCAATACCCATTCACAATAATAACTAGAAGTAGAAGGAAAATTCCTCAAACTACTAAAGGGCATTTGTGAAAAATCTACATCCAATATAATATATTGGGAAACAAGGCAAGTTATCCATTAACATGTCTATTCAAAAACATACTGCAGCCAGTGCAATAATAAAAAAAGTAGAAGAAACAAAGCCATACAGACTGGGAACAAAGTAACACTGCCTTGATTCATCCACAAATGACCAACCATATACAATATCCTAAGCAATCTATTAAAAAGCTAATGAAATAAATTAGTTTAGGATGGTTGCAGGATACAACATCAATAGGAAAAGCTGATACCGAGAAATGGATGACAAAATATTTTCTCAGGTTATTTTCTAGAAATTTAATTTTAGCTATTTTCTATATGATGAGAGGTAAGGGTCAAGGCTCATTTTGTGCACATGGATATCCAGGTGTTTGTTGAGAAGATATTCCTTTGTACATTGAGTTGCCTTGGAAAATATCTTTCCCTCACAAGAGCAATGCGTGGATGGGAGGGAGAGAGGTAAAGCAGTTCCTTAAGGGACCAAGCTAAGTTGATTCTTGAGCAGGGAGAGCCTCCAAACTGACCAGATTGCCCATAAAATTAGTCCAGAGATGATCAAACTGTGGCCTATAAAATAAGTCTTACTTGTTACGATTAACATCTTAAGGGGGATTTACAATAAAGTTTCGATGTGACAGATAATTAAAGGATTAAACTAAATAATACTAAGACATTTCTAAGAGAAACAACGATAGTCATTGTTAAAAAAAAAGGCACATCTGCTATCTTACCAGATTTCTTTTTTTCTGATAATTTGCATGGTGTCTTGAAATTACCGATCCCTTCCATTGTAGCAAGCACTCTAGGTCCTATGAAGAATACAAATTGCAAGTTACACAGCAGATATAAAAATACAACTCTCATTCATAAAGAAAAAATGCCTATAACATTATCACTCATTTTATCACAACCAAAATTTAAGAACTAAAAAATACCTTGACAAAAATTTCATTCAGTTTTACTTAAAATGAGAAAACTAAAAGCAAAAGGTCCAACTACTTATCCTCGGTCATAATATTAGTGATTAAGTATTTTTGTTTTAAAGTAATACATGCACTTAGCTTAAAAAAAAAAATCACCTAGTACAAAAAGGTAAACAATATGTCTCCCTCTCACACTTCCCAGGAGTAGTTCTTAACAGGTCTCTTATATTCTTGAAGGAAACTGTGCAAGCAGCATTATTCATAACAGCCAAGAAGCAGAAACAATAGAACTCTCCATCAGATGATGAATGGATAAACAAATTGTGGCGTATCTATACAATGGAACATTATTCACTCACAAACAGGAATAAAGTGCTGATATATACAAGAATGAACCTTGTAAACATTATGCTAACTCCAGATACAAAAAGGCTACATATATGATGAACCCATTTTGAGGAAATGTCCAGAATAGGCAAATCATGCAGACAATAGCTGAACAGTTAGTTGCTGGTGGCTGAGGAGACAGAGAATGTGGAATGACTGCCAGCAGGTACAGGGTTTCTCTGGGGTGATGAAAAGGTTCTAATATCAGAAAATAGGTTTAATATATTCATCTCTGAGTATACTAGAACTACTGAGTTTCATACTTTCCAAGGGTAGATTTTATGATACATTAATTATATCTCAATAAATGGTTATAAAAATTATCTATGAAAATAAAACGTGGCCGGGACGCAGTGGCTGACGTCTGTAATCCCAGCACTTTGGTAGGCCGAGGTAGGCCGATCATGAGGTCAGGCGTTCGAGACCAGCCTTGCCAATATGGTGACACTCCGTCTCTACGAAAATAAATACAAAAATTAGCTGGGTGTGGTGGCGTGAGCCTATAGTCCCAGATACTCGGGAGTCTGAGGCAGGAGAATGGCTTGAACCCGGGAGGTGGAGGTTGCAGTGAGCCAGCATCGAGCCATCGCGTTACAGCCTGGCAACAGAGCAAGACTCCGACTCAAAATAAATAAATAAAATAAAATGAGGCTGGGCATAGTGGCTCACGCCTATAGTCCCAGCACTTTGGGAGGCCAAGGCAGGCAGGTCAGTTGAGGTCAAGAGTTTGAGACCAGCCTGGCCAACATGGCAAAACTGTGTCTCTACTAAAAATGCCAATAATTTAGCTGGGTGTGGTGGTGTGTACCTCTAGCTGCTCAGGAAGCTGAGGCAGGCAGGAGAATCCCTTGAAACTGGGAGGCAGAGGTTGCAGTGAGCCGAGATTGCATCACTGCACTCCAGCCTGGGCAACAGTGAGACTACATCTCAAAAAAAAAAAAAAAAAAAAAACCAACAAAAGAAAAGAAAATGTACGTATCATATATATAAACAAAGCAACTCAATTTGTTTCTTTCTGCTATATTTATGAATTTTTTATTTTAAAAAATTTTTAAAATTAGGTTTCCTATTATTATAAAGCAAAACTGTTCCTACATGTCAATAAGCTCATTTGTCTATAAAAAGTTGGGAGGCAGAGAGATTTGCTTAAATTTTTTATAGAACCCTTAATTATACCCTCAGTCTAAGGGGGACTTGATATGCAGACACTGCACGTTTTAAAAAAGAGAACCTATCTCTAAAAACAACTAGGTTTAAACAGAAGTCTTAACATTTCCTTATTATTTTCTTAGGGCTGAGTCCCACCTCCGACTCTGAACTACTCGCACCTTTAAGTACCATGCCCTATTCATTTCACAGTTGTCTGAGGGCCACTTCCACTCCCACCCCTCCCCAATCCCACTCCCCCATCGCACCCCCACTGCCCCACCCCCCCCACCGCCCCCGCCACCGCACTCTCAGGTTTTGGTATTGACTATTGACAGATATTGACAGATGGCTTTTGGCCAGTAGCCCAAACTCTGCGTCAGATTCTGTTACCTATTGTATACACAGTCTTAACATTAATTGTTAAATAAGCATACTAATTCTAAATCACAAGGTTCTCATTAAGATGGCAGGGGAGAAAAAAAAAACCCAAACAACAAAAACACACACACACAGAAAAAATCAGTGAATATTTGGATGAACATCCATTAGAAATGGCAGTGGGATGACCGTGAGCAGAATTTCATACTCTGGAATACCTAACATCATTTTCAAAATCAAGTGCTGTTTAAGAAGCAGCAGTCAAGTGAGCGGAGCTCAGCAAGCTTATCTCCAGCTCTACTGAGTCAAACGTCAGTGACCTCTGGACCCTAAGCCTGGGACCCTGGGACTCAACAGGATACTACTGCCAAAGCTAAAGTGCGGAGGGGCAGCAGAAAAACGGAAAAACAAAAAAAATGAGGAAAAGGAAATATAAGGAGAAAGAGAAAGTGGCTGTAGAAAGTCCAAGGGGAAGTGTGGGCCGCACGACTCGTCAGCTCCTCTGCATCTCACACGCTCGGCAGGCTTCGGGGTGGAGGTCAGGCTGCCGTTTACCCGATCCTGGGGCTCACACCCGGCGGCGGCCAAAATCCTCCTTCGGCTGTAACCAGACCCTCCCCTGTCACGAAAGGCCCCGCAGAGTCCTCGGCTCCGGGCTCGGCCCCCGCCCCGGCTCGCAAAAAAAAAAAAAAAAAAAAAAAAAAACTCCCCTTACCAGTCTCACCCCCGGGAAGAAACGGGCGGCGGTGAAGAGAGGTGGCGGCCAATTCCCTCTTCAAAACTGGTCCCAAGCGGCCCCCAGCGAGACCCTGCAGCTGCGTCCGCGCCCCCAGAGCCCCCGACACTCACGACCGGCAGAAGCCGTTGCGATTCAAACCCTCCTGGCTTTCAAAATGTCGCGCGCTGAGCAGGCGTCGCCCTCGAACTACGGGGCGGCATAAAGGACAAGCCCCGCCGATTCGCCGTTCCTCCCGCCTCGCCCGGGCCTCCAGGCACCTGCGCGCTCGCCAAGGCACGAGAAGGAAAGCGAGGCACGTGGAGACAAAGCTTCAGAGGAACCACCAGCCCTTCCGAGGAGCACAGACCGGTGAATAGAAAACACGTGCCTGTGCTGAAGGCTGAAGCGCTCCCCAAACGCTCACATCTGTGCTGAGTGTGTCGATTTTATTACAGGTTTAAGAGGCCTTGAGCCGGGCGCGGTGGCTCAAGCTTGTAATCCCAGCACTTTGGGAGGCCGGGGCGGGTGGATCACGAGGTCGAGAGATCGAGACCATCCTGGTCAACATGGTGAAACCCCGTCTCTACTAAAAAAATACAAAAAAAATTAGCTGGGCATGGTGGCGCATGCCTGTAATCCCAGCTACTCAGGAGGCTGAGGCAGGAGAATTGCCTGAACCCAGGAGGCGGAGGTTGCGGTGAGCCGAGATCGCACCATTGCACTCCAGCCTGGGTAACAAGAGCGAAACTCCGTCTCAAAAAAAAAAAAAAAAAAAAGAGGCCTTGAAACACTAAGGACAAATGTGTACCTTAAGGAACAATCATCTTTAGCGGAGAAAAAAAAAGATATTTAGAAATATTGCTAATTCATGTAATTGCTACGTTCAGTTCAAAATTCTTTCATTTATTCAACGATTATTTAGGAACATCTGCTCCCCAGGAGGGTATGGGCCGAGGGGCAGATTGGAGGCCCAGAGCTCGGCGCAGGGGGTACCCCTCGGGGGGCCGTTCCTTTCTATGTAGAGGTACACCAGGGGTTGGAAAAACCACTCCAGGCAAAGAACTTGAATGATGATCAGGACTGGAATCCATTAATGTGGGTGACTAAGCCCCGCAAGTCTGATCACCCACCTGGCGGTGTCTCCATGACACACCGAAGATGTGCCCTGAGACATCCCCCGGGGATGGCGCAGGTCCTGAGGGTCGTGGGGATCAAAGAATATGAGCCAAGAGGCATAAATCACATGTTGGGGTTTGCCTTACCCTATGTGACCACAGTTCTAGATGATGCAAAAATTTACTCAAGCCATGCTGAGAAAGCCACTGATGTGCAATTGCAAGCCAGTGTGCGCAGACCAGTTTGTTTACCCCTCCTCCCCCAAGAGATTTGTATTAGGTATTGCAAGGCAAAGAAATCAAACCCTTTCACCATTGATCAAGCCGTAGTGAAGCCTCCCAACGGATTTTGCTTTACAGCTCCAACTCTATGTTGCAGGGAAATCGGCAAAACTGGGGAGCAGAGGCCACCCGGCTTGGAACAGGAAGGATTTCAAGAGCAGGCTCATAAAGTGAGAGCAAGTTTATTAGGAAAGTAAAGGAATAAAAGAATGCCTACTCCATAGGCAGAGCAGTCTGGAGGGCTGCAGGCTGGCTATTTGTGTGGTTGTTTCTTAATCATGTGCTAAATAGAGGGTGGATTATTCATGAGTTTTACGAGAAGCCCCGGGGGGATTTTCTGGAATTTGAGGGTTCGTCCTCCTTTTAGACCGTATAGGGTAATAACTTCCCCGGGTTGCTGTAGCATTTGTAAACTGTCAGGGCACTGAGGGGAGTGTCTTTTAACAGCTAAATCATTATAATGAGCATTATAATAAGCAATGAGATTGACCAGAGGTCATCCATTAGTGGATTCAGTCTCCATTTTGATTCAGGTTCTTTGCCTGGAGTTTTTCCAACCCTGGTATACCAGGAAAGGGAACACTGAGTGGCCCCCATAGGGTGCCATCTTGCTTTTTGTGGGTTTAGGCTGCCCTCTTTACTGCATCCTGCTTTATCAGTGGGGGTCTTTGTGAATTCTACCTTGTGAAATCAGTCCTGCCAAAATCCTGTCTCATACAGCCCTGATTCTTTACAGAAAAAGGCATCAACTTCTGAGGGAAGAATAACAGTCCCATGACATCAGTGGGCTAGGTGAGGTCCTCAAATGCCAGTGGGTCCTGGAACCCAGCAGGTGTC